GAGATGAACTGGGAGAGGGAGTATGCATCTTAAATTGATTGATAACTAGATTGTATGTGCAATTAATGCTCAAAATTTACCCCAATGAGTAGATTTCGACTTCATGGTTGAACGGTCATCTATATTTTAACAATTTGTACGGGTTTTTCGGACCAAAAATAGCCGTAAGTGCTGGTTTTTATTTTTGATGAATACTTAGAATTTCTCGATTACCGTAAATGGGTCCGTTAGCTTGAAATTTTAAATTGGTTGTCGAGGATATATTTGTGATGTTTAGTGAAAGATTTGCAAACCCACGCCTCATCTGTCGCAGACAACAAGAGTGAAACAGGCGTAATACTGTTAGAGGATAAAAGCATTTAGCTTTCAGTGGGTAAATATAAAGTTCACTCAACAAAATAAAGTGCTCATTGAATTTTGATGCATGAAAATGCTTTGTACTCCTAAGGAATTTTTTGAAAAAGCTAGAGAATTTCACAATGAACTCCATTCTTCGGTGGAAACTGTTATCTAGGTATTGTTTCTAAGGACAACTTCGCTCGGAAAACTCTTTATAGTAGGCTAAAAAAAATGACAAACGATGGTAACCTTTTTTCTTTTCTTTTTTTTGTCAACAGTATTTACACTAGTGATTAGTGCTATATCTCATTTGAAAGAGGACAAAATTAGCTTTTCAGAAAAAATATATTTTGCCTCCAAAAATCCATGGATTTTAAATCATGCTAAGAAAATGGCATACAATGTGCATAAATTATTGTACAACTTTTGACTTTGAAACAGCCTGAGCCTGAATGGATTGGAGTTAAAAGGAAACATTTCTTAGATAAAATATTCCTTATCTTATGGGCAAGGCATCCAGAGACTCTGGCTGAAAAAGAACAAATACAGAATTAATTAGAATTTTTTTCCAAACTGTACCCCAAAACCATAAAAATTGACCCAGATTATTGAAAAATGTATTCCTCACCAAGTATTTACACAAGGGAAGTAAGCTATACCTCACTTGAAACAGCAGTAAATAAGCTTTCCTGAAATGTATGTTTCCTCTCCAAGAAAAAGGAAACAACCTCATTGAATGCTTTCAAACTAACATTGATTAGCATAAAATATCATCAAAATTTGAACTGTGAATTAAGTGATACCCAAATAATACAAAGTAATGAGGCATAAATTAACTTAAGAGGTTCCTTGTTACATGGGCAACATCTCCATAAAAAATTGGTTGAAAGATAACAAATCTGAGATGTGTTACACATATCTAGTGAACACTGATTGACACACTGACTAATTAGTCTGACCTCATCATCACCCCAAGCCCAAATTTACTAATCCCTCTTGAAGTCTACAGTGCAATCATTGGAACTATATTTCTTTGTTTGACTTCTGAAATTTTGCCTTGAAACAGGGACAAATGAGATAATCAACCTCAAAATACATAAAGCGCAACATATATCAAAAGCCTTTCACTTGCAATGCACCACCAGTATTTTCAAGAGTAAACAATTCAGAAGTGAATAAAGGGGTAAGTTTCTAAAGAAACTGTGGTGCTGCGTCGGTGGGAGAGTATAGCAGGTAATTTAGTGTTAACAACTGGGTTGAAAACGTAAACTAGCCACCGTAAAGGGTAAAAAAGCTGACGTTTCGAGCGTTAGCCCTTCGTCAGAGCGATGGAATTCAGAAGTGAAACCGGAAACTGTTTTTTTATATCATTCCACTCATTCTTGAGCATAATTTGTTTTTTTTGTGAATTTTCAGCATGTAACAAGTAGAACCACATCTAAAAAACATACAAAACATATAAGATAATGTACAGGTCGATATATATTCAACTATCGTTTTAAAAATAAAAGATTTTATTTGATTTAGTTCGGACGCACACTGCGTCATTCGATCTGTCATCGGCTGATAATTTAGGCCGTTGCGTTCTAACATTCCATTGAAGATTATTTTCTCTGTCGCTCAAAAATCATGTTTGATCATAATATATGTTGCTTTTCATTCACAAATATACATTTACAGGTTTGGATTCGTGCGCGAAAAGTAAAAGTAAATGTTTCAACACCACATGCGTCACGCATTTAAATATCGCAAGAATGTTTACAGATTACTTACCTCGATTCTTCGCTAGGATTTTCCAGTTTTCTATCTAATTCGGATTCCTCACCACTAGAGATACCACCATGCTCACTTCCATCGTCAAAAATCACCTCTAAAGCCTTAGCTACGCTGTATCTCTAGCGTTTCACATCGTACGCCATTATCGCAGACTGAAATCGTTGAATATAAAAATGAACTAGACCCTGTGCGCAGGGTAACTGGGATACCTGGATGGTACTGGATCCTTGGAATCAAGTGTAGTGATACTACGGGTGTCGGACTAGTATACTGAAATAGTGCGCTCAAGTCTGGCCAAGGGCATACACCTATTTCAAAACATAGGCATGCTATGCATGCAAGAGTTACTTTTTTGTAGAGTGGGTGGATTACTTGAAACATTGTGAGTGGTGTCTACATTCTTACAAAAGAAGAGAAGAATATTAATGTGGGAAAGAACGAAAATGTCGAATTACCTCACTCACAGGTATTTTGAGGTAGATTATGTGTGTTTTGCGTATAAATGTAACCAAAAATAAACTGTATTGGTGCCACGGATACCTGTTAGTACAAAATGCAGATAGCAGACTGCAGACCGGATACAAAATAATAGACTGCAGACTGCAGAGTGGGTACAAAATGCAGACTAAGAATCTGAAGAGTTTTTACATCTGGTATATAATAACATGTCATCTTACAGCTTACCGAGCGTCACGCAATCGCTTTTCCTCGATCAGCCTTCACGATTATTTGCACTATTGTGGAATATTCCTGGCCCATTTCTTGATAAAAATCGATCGCAATATTATTTAAAGCCTTCAATATAGTTTTCTTACTTTGCGCGCGAGTTGGTTTGTGTAATGTCTGTACAGATTTTACCAACGTAATAAAAGTATATGACGTGAATAACAGTGATGGTGAAGCAAGCTTAAAACGGCAGAAATCGCCAGAAAATACAACGGATACAAAGGGTATGAGTAAGTTTTATTCATTTTACGAGAAAAATGTTCATATTTCGAAATATTTATCGTTGTAAATCGACCATACTTCGCTCCCTATACTATTCCTTATAACGTGTTCAATTTCCAACAGTTCCTCTTGTAACTTAACACCGAGTCACACAACGCGTGACGCGTTCATGAATTTAATCGTTGGCTTTTTCTCGAGACGTGAGCTTGGGCCGCCTGTGACAAGACAATTGCGTAAACAATATTAAACATAATAACATTATACATAAAAAAACACAGGGTTTTGGATCACTTATTTATTAAAAAAGAATATCCATACAACTACAATGAAAACAAACATCAGAATCACCTTTCTGATCGTGAAATTAATACCATTCGTACTGTTATCGTAGCTACGTTTCTTGCCATCAAGTGAATCCAACATGTCGTCTTTCTTCACAAGCAGTTTGCATTCATTATAGTTATGTTCTTCAGTCTCACGGTAGTAGTGTTGTTCAATAGATTTCATAGAGTATATGCAGTTTGGTTTCAGATTTCAGATTTTGCTTTCTACAACAAGTGAACGTTTTTCAACTACGATATTGGCATACTCAGCACACAAGGCATTCAAGGCTTTCATGGCTTTCAAGCGTTCGCGACTCAATCCGTTCCAAAATTACCGCTCAATAACATTAGCCGCGATTAATACGACTTGTATATTGATTTTGCGCGTTTACGCCATAATGCTTTCCAAATACGTTGAAATACAAAACAATTCAAAAACACTGGTACCCGGCCGTGTCCGTGTATGACAACGTCAATCATCATCAAGATGTGATCAGCATGTGTGGATAAAATGGTGTTGCCCAATTTGTACTATTGCAATTTTTCCATTTTGTGGCGGAGGAAAAAAAAAAAAAAAAAAAAAAAAAAAAAAAAAAAAAAAAAAAAAAAAAGAAAAAAAGACGACAAAAAAACAAAGGCATTTTAAGACTGGGCTACCACAGGTATCCCAGTAATAATGAAAGCATGCAAATATTCATAAGATGAAATTAAAGTTTGATTCGCTTGTATATCACAGATGAAACCACACCTCAAGTACTTAATGCTGTGACATCGATTATAAAAAATTCCATATCTCCAGATCAATTTACGAAAAGTGACGTTGGAAAACTGACGTACACATTTTTCGCGCGCTTTTAGTTTGCTTTCGCGGAGTTTAAGTTAGTTGCTTTTAAGCTTTCGTTCACGTAAATTTGTTACCCCTTTGATTGGAAATTTAAGAAGTTTTGGAGTTGTTAGTTTAGCCAAGTGTTGTGGTTCATTTAAAAGGTTTAAGATATATTTTCTACGGAGTTTTGACTCTGGCCTCTTTTTTTGTAAATGGACTTTTTGCAGAGTTAATTTACTGGAGTAAATTTAAAATAAACCTGAGAGGCGTTTAATCGAGAAAGTATGGTATGCCTACTTGCGCAGTTTGACTTCAAGACATTCCACAGATCATAATTTGACCATAAATTGATCATTCAATCAATTAATTATTGATGGTTTAATACTGGTCAACATTCACACTGGTTACCAGACCTTGTGTGCGTTAAAATGTTTGGAGGCTTGAAAGCAATTGCTGAAATTTGAATGTCACACCTTAAACACTATATTCCATATCTCCAGACTGAAAAGTTTGAAAAGTCTGGGGTGCAAAAAAGCTGTACGTGAAAGAGCTGCTCACTAAGGTTATCTCATGGTAGTTGTCATAAAGCTTTTGAGCTTTTCAGGGAGTTAAGGGACGGCGAAGCCTAATTCAGCTTAAGGGGGGAAGGGGGTTAGAAATCCCCCCCCCCACTCTCGCCGTCTCTGGAGTCAGATGTGGTGATATGATCTGATGCGTTTAAGTACAGTGCAAGTTTTGCCTCGTGTTGAATGTTTTGCACAATTTATTGAACCATTAAAACCCCTAAAATTGCACCTCTTGCGAGCAAACAATCAGTGAAGGTGATCAGTTGAAAGAGAAATCAAAATATGTTCGCCACAGAGTTATCGAATCCCGCTATTTTCTAGAACTTTTGATCATGACTGAATTTTTCCTGGATTATTTTGCTGATGGACCTTTAGTCGGACACGCCCCATGAAGATTCACCTCCGCGTATTCTGGTTCTTTCCTCTCAAATAGCACCTGAGCCGTCAGGGGCGCATTTGAACCTGGTGCCAGTTTCCCGGAAAACTCGATTCGAATTTTTTCACATTGCTTTAGGTTGGCGTTCTGAATCTGTCCCGGGAAATTCTCGATGTAGTAGGTTTGTCCGTCTTGGGATTTTCCGGAAAGCTTGGCTGCGTTCAGATTAGATATTTCAGCAACTGGTCTGGAAAACTCCAAGATAACTTTCCATCCGCCTCGGACAGAATCTATCACTTGCAACTCAAACCTCATCTTGAAGTTATTTGGCGGCCATTGATGAATCAATTCTACGCCGGCGCGTTCTTGTGGGGCCGGTGGTCCAGGAGCTGGGGCAGGCAGATCAAAATCTTTACATTTCGTCGCATTTGGATTGAAAACGAAGAATGCATTCGGTGCAGCTTCGTACAACTTCGCTTTGTAGCAGTTAAATTCAAGGCGGAGATATGATTTCGCTTTGAGCTTCTTATTGTAGGGCCGGGGTCCGAGACAAAAAGAGTCGTTAGTTGATGCTTTTGGAAGCGAGACTGTCGCCTTGTCGATAGCAAAATTCTTCGTGCTGATCTTTTTGGTGAACTTGAGTGATATGCTCCAGTAATTCACAGCCTCTGGGACGTGGTATTCCATGATCATTTTAAAACCAGAATTCGATTCATCGACCGGCTTAAGTGGATAGATCGGTATAACTTGTTGAGGTGTCGTGGGCTGAAACTAAAAACATTTAAATATTTTTAACAATGTTTTTCATATTATTATTTTTTTTATCAGAAATAAACTTTGATCTAGAAGCTAAATCAATGTTAGACCAATCAGACAAATAATATCAGAGAGATTGACAATAACTCAATGTTTACTGACTGTAAGCATTTTGCTGGATTTTTATTTCCCATGGACTAAACAAATAAGTATAATCATTTGTGACAGAAACAAAAGAACCAATTTTTTGATGGAGTGGAAGGCTTCAGAGAAAGGTGAATACTTATCGTAAGCGTTTCAAGGACTTAGTACTTCCCAACATTAATTCGGATCTCTTCCTTCAGTTCCTCGCACCACTCGTAAGATTTTGTTTCCAATCCACTATTCAAGAAGGCCAAGTCTTTACCACAGAGGTTAAGAGAATCGATGTGAAATCAGCTTTTTTAATTTTAGAGGGTCAGTGTAATGTTTGAGGCGAAAACACTTAAACTGTGGAGCTACATGAAGTCAAAATGCAACTTTAAGCATGTGCCAACAGAAAAAAACCAAATTAGAAACCAGACAGTTGACCCTTTTCTAGAAGTGAGGCCGAGAAACATGGGAACGAAAACAAAATCGGTACTCTCTTCTCTACTCTCTTCCGTCTCTAGCTTTATCCCGTCATCCCATTCGTGCCGTGCTAATTTGAATCATCCCCATGCCTCTCGCACTTCTAGAAAAAAGCGAACACAACTGGGGTCGAGTCAGCTCCAAAGTCGCGAGTTTACCAACCGGGGTCTGGGTGGGGAGTCGAGGACTTTTGTTTCCGCCTTTGAATATAACTGTGACGTTACCAGGGGGGGAGTTTCTCTTGCCTTTGTAGGCCACCACAGCAAATGTTAGAACTTGACCCGTTGCCAATTTTTTATTGAAATATTCTTCTTTGAGATCATGTATTCTTTGATCGGCAGATTTCTTTAAGACGATCGCTCGCCATACGTCGATCTTCTTGATTGGCTGGGAAAATATCAGTGCGATCCTCCAACCGTTAGGGACTGGGTACTGCATTTTGACGGTGATGATGAGCTTGAAGGCCTCGGCCCAGTCGTGCTCTAATTCCGCTGAGCCGTAGATCATTGGCGAGTCAGCGGTCTTACACCTCAAAGCTCCCAAAAGGACCAGTGAAATGGACCAATACAAGTGCATATTTCCTGAAGTGAGACAAAAACGAGGCAGCCAATTTCCAAATAGAAGATTAGGAGACTTTTCATAGGTTCCAAGGGTAGGACGTCAATTTTTCCTTTTACCATACGCAGACATAAATTAAGACTACTTTTCAGCACCAATTGTTTTTAAAATCAATCTAAATTGTATTCAGTATCTGAGAAACGTTTCTTAAATGCAGTTTTGAAGTTATGAAAACATTGATCTTTCCCTTTGTTCTCGCTCAGTATATTTAGATGTAAAGCGTAAATAATAAAACTGTTTGGAGCTTGCAGCTTTACAAACAAAATTTGTTCAGTTCGTTGTTCGATCTTTTTTTCACTTCAGCTGCATCTCTTGTTCTAAGAAATCTATCAAAGTTTCCGTATTTACATTTCCCAAAGCATTCGATGACACACTGCAAGACACATATCCATTTCTGGGTGCAAATATAGACATTCTAGATTTTGTAATTCTAATCTCCAAAATGAGCTCTTTGAGATATTCATTTGTGAAATTGTATGACAAACCCCAGCCAGAGGGGGAGGGGGGGGGTGGTGGATTTAAATCATACTAATTCCAGTGTTTGAGTTATTTTCCTTCAAAGAAAATAAATGGGACAGACTTTGGAACTGAAACTTGAAGGACTTATCAATAATGTAATTTTCAAAAGCGAGGGTGCAAATCAACTCACATAACATTTGTACTCAGCTTATCCTACAAAAAATGATCTCATCTTTCAGTGTAAAGTTTTTTCAAACCGGTTCTCTAAAAAACGTGTTTCTATGATTCAAATGGCTGATATTACAAGACAAGACAAGACAACTTTATTTTACCAGGGTAGCCGGGAGATTCTCAAAGATAGACAAGTATTTACAACAGTCAACGGTTTACCTTAAACAGCAGCTTTTCTGCGTTCTGTAAGTAATGAAAAAAAAAATTGAAATATTACAGATTAATGATATCATAAAAACATCAAAACCTCTTCATATTTCCCCCGCCTAACACGATCGACAGAAGCTGTCACATCAGCAAATGATACAGGTACATTTATTGTAAGAAGTAGAATTTGTAAAATTAATAACTCTTACCAAAAGACGTCAGGGCAATCTTTGTATCACTGATCAGAACTGTTCTGCTGTGGAGAGGTGATATCTTCTTTTGTTCATCGCATGTTACATTGACAGACAGTCCTGCCTCTTGAAACAATCTCTTGTCCAAATAATTTAATGTAATCTTTTTCTTTCTTTCCTCTACCTTTGTGATGAACTCTTTACAAAAGCAAACAAATATCTTTTACGGAAGTAAACAATATCATCGCACATTATGGATTCGCCTTTGGAACATCTTGCAACCCTAAATCAATGCTCAGTATTGTTATCCGGCAGCTTAAAAGAAACCAATTGCTTTCGACTTTCAATGAATATTTTACGATCTGCCGCCATTCTAAGAATGGAATCACCTGGTAGAAGGGAAAGTAAATATGACCCAATTCTAGTCTGAACTGTCCCAACCCGGTAATTGTTCTCTTCGAGCTGTTTACGAGTTTTGTTGTGTTTTTTTGTGTCAATTCTCATGATCGGTTTCGATAAAATGACAAAACAAGGACTGTTTATTTTTCAGTGAGAGCTGCGTAGAATCTCTCTTCCTCCATCGACTTCTACATGGGGGAATTGGAGAAAAGAGAACGTATAATAGGCAACAAGTTATTGCGAAAGAGAAAACCTCTTGAAACACTCCGACTGTTCAAATAAGAAAAAAATTATGTTTCAATTTTGCGCTATTAATTACGGAAACGGGGAGTTCTGATTCAAATGTCAAATGCATAAGAGCTTTTTAGATACACTTGGATTTATTTCGCAATGATGAATTGCCTTAAATAAGACATTTTCTCAAACGTTTCTTCGTGGCGAAATCCAAGCAAAACAAGTTCAACAAAAGATCTGTTTTAAGTTTTTAAAATACATCAAGTACTGATCATACCCGAGTTAGACTACTCAAACCACAAGATTTTATTTCTGCTCTACAGACGGTGATTAATTTTAATACAAATAAAATGTCAATGGAACAGGAAACTTTCAGTGGTGCTATTTATCCTTCGTAGAATGTAGGAAGCTCATTTCCTAGAATAACTCTCCTCTCTATGCCTGACTCATCAATGGCTGCCAAACGGATTATTCCACCTGATGAACCATCCCTTGACATAGCCAACGCCACAGCTGAAAGCAAAAAAAAAAATTAAAAGTTAATATTTAGTAAATTGTAATTTTCCAAACCTTTCGCCACACATTTGTTGTAATTTAAGCTCTGAGTGTTAAGTACTAAATCAAACAATATCTCAAAATGATGATGTTATTTCCTCTCGTCACCTTTCTAAGTAAAAATGTATTGACATTGACGGGAAAAATTCTCCATGGGTCACTACTAGAAGTGATAGGGTTGTTACAGTAGTTTGTTAAAGTTTGCACTGGAGCCAAGTGATCTATCTTCAGGGTAGCACAGCAAATTTTAGAGTTTGGAGGGGGAGGGTGGGGGTGGCTACAGTTGAACGCATAAGCTCCAGCCAACAAGGCAAGGGAATGGGGGCATACTTAGCACAGAGCTTATGCCACTTTCCAAAGCATTAAACCATGAAACCCTTAGACTAACTAGCATCTCAATTCTCCCTATGTTATCACCCCTGGATCACACATTAAGGTTAGGAGAATAAAGGAGATGATCACCAACTCAAGAGGCTCTTGCTTGTTAAACAAATAATTCTCTGACCCCTCTAATGGAAACCTGATTTCTGCAGAGATCCCAAGGCTACAGGTCATAGGGATCTACATGTACCAGTAGCCAACATCATTTAAATAGCACCATTCAAAATGTTCTCTGGAAAGTTTTGAAAGATATTTCAATAATATCTGTCATTACAAGGCCTCCCTATGACAAAGCCATAGGTCATCACACCAGCTTCTGGGGTAGACAAAAAAAAAGGTTTCCAAGTGCATTTCAATACCAACCATTTGCCACAAATTTGAAACACTCCTCCTTTGTCATTCCATGTTTGTAAGTAGCATCACAATGGCCATAGATGTAAGTACTTCCAGATCCTGAAAAAAAAAAAGAAAAAAACTTACACATTGAAAATCTTCTCAGAATCACTGTGAACTATCTTTGCATTTGAACCCACATGAGACTTCCAACAAGGTATCTACTAATTTAGAGTGTCTTATAATATTTACCTCCTATGGCAAAGGGTTGCCTCACACACATTCCACCCAGGGGAATTGAAAAAACCTATAAAAAAATAATATCAAACATTTGTAAACTAATTACATACTTAGCAATAACTATCTAAAACCAAAAGGTTCTACAGTGGTAAATACAGATAAAATAATGCCAAATTTGCATATACACTGTAGCCTTATGCAATAAAGTAATCAAGCTCTCAAATGGTTCCAGACACTACATGTATGTGAAATATTTCAACACTTTCAGTAATATGCATATGCCTCTGAAAATTATATATGATTGATAACCACAATTATCTTAGTACCTTTATTCTGGAATGCTAACTGATATCTAGTTTTATCTATTATTGCAACAATTTTTTTTCTTGAATGTTTTCCTCCTTACTGTGAACATTTGGTCCCATTTTAACTTTTGCAAACTACCGATATCAGAGTTATAACTAAAAATTGACCAATATAATAACAAAGAGCAAGCGATTAATTTTGTCCAAATTCTTGTCATATTTGACAGCTTGAGTATTATGCACTGATTGGGTCAATTCAGTTTAGTTGGAACCACTGTGCTTTTCCAATAATGTGATCAGAAGCACAAATGTTCATTTAAAGTTCCAAAACCATGATGCAGTCGGTTTCCCTCAGAAAATATTTCTACTGAATTGCACAGCCTTCATCAGTCTATTGAAGTAAGTTATTACACAGCAAAAAACTTTGTAACCACTTGCTCAGAGTGCCCCTCCCCTCTGATGGGAGCATGGTCTGGAAGATCTTTGGAAGCTCAAGCTCCTTGTCCCTATTAACCTTTTAATCTCTGTAAGTGACCAGCATGTAATTTCTCCTTACAGTAATACTGCTGAATCATTCATTAAGATCATGAGAATAACAGAAATGGTCGCCAACCTAACAAAACTCTTGATTGTTAAACAAATTCTCCCTGTCAGTACCAAAGGAATTGTATAGAGAAGAGTATGGAGAATATGGATACTGATGTTAGGGTGTAAAGGGTTAAATGATGGACATCTCATCTTGACCTCTATAGCCTCTTTATTGTCCTCTTGTTGTGATTGGTTGATTCTATTTAAGTGATGCTGGTAACAGCTGTGGCATTACTGTTAGTAAAATAAGCTCATCTTACCTGTCCTCCTTCTCTCTTATCCCAGCCTGCACAAATAATGCCAGCTGTCAGTGAATCACGGTTTCCATAACAAACCTCACGGAAGACATTAGCCACTGTTTTCACAAGTGGCTGTTCACCCATTTCAATGCTATAGGAAAAAAATGATTAACAAAAGGTTATCTTTTCAATTCAATGACATTTTATTTTAACAGTGAATACACTACTACATGAATTGGTACAAGACTTCAATTTTTAAAACTTCTCTCAAGAAATTTAAATCAGTTTACAAAATATTACCATCAATACATCCCATTAAGGTTTAACACTTTAACTCCCAAAAGTGATTAACAAGAAATTTCTCTCTATAATACCCATACATTATCCAGAAACAGGTTCTGAGAGAATCCAAACTTATCAGTTGGAAGTTGTTATCTTGATAAAACACTAAATTCTCATACTCATTTACAAGGAAATGCATAGCAGCTAAAGGGGAAAATTAACAATCAGATGTTGGGCTTAACCCTTCCACCTCCCAAGATCTAATTAGTAATTCTCCTTACTATCTGCCATACAATTCTTATGATGTTAGTTCAGAGAATTTGGTATTGGATCAACTAATAATCCCATAATTGATATTCTTCTCTATTCTCATCACCTGCCTGCTTGATATTGTATTGATATTGTAAGGAGAAATTCTGTCTTGGTCACTTGTGGGAGTGAAAGGGTTAAGTTACTTATAGAAATCAGTAGCACTATAGTTCAAAGACAAAACACTTATATAGAGAGGAAATTAACTCAATAAAGCTTCTTCTCCAATCAACTCAAAAAATACACCAATATTACCTGATGAAGTTCAAATGATATTTAGCTATATCAGCAATGGCCTGTGTTGCTGCTGCAGATCCTGATCGGCAACAAAACACTCTATCTGTCACTGGAGTCAGCTTATCTGTTACTCGGTTTGCTATGTATGCACTAAATAAGGGAAACAAGTTATAAAAAAGAGTCATTTGAGTCTGGTGGCCTAATGATTTCTTAAGAAAATTGTCTTTTTTTCAGAACAAATGTAGCACAAGGGACTCAAGCATCTAGTAAGGTGCACTTTTACAGGCACCTTATTGTACTCCAGGATGGTAAAAAGCACTAAGAGAGAGTTAGCTACATGTGCATTGTATTCTGATCTAATATGTGATAAACATGTAATTTCTCCAAACAAATCAATTGACAAGGGATGGACCAAAAGAAAAGTTGACAGGAGGAACTGCAAGTGCCTAAGTAGGGAATCTGGAGCTCAGGGTATTCAAGATAAGGAATAAGAAGGGGGGCAAGGCTAGAGGGTTTGAGAAATGCAGGCAACAAGGCTAGACAAACATACAAAGAGCATGGGATAAAACGAAAAAAAGGGAAAAAAACACAAATAAAAATGGATTTTTTTTTCATCTCAATCTCCACTTCCCCTCTCATGGTCCGTCCTAAAGAGGGCAAATGGATTTTGACAAGAAGCAGCCCTCTGAATCGAACTAAGCAATCTTTTCTTTACACAACATCAAATCTCTCTCCTAATTCACAATACAACTTATGGAGGCTAGAACAGAGAACAAATAAAGAACTGGACAACCTGATCTTTGAATTCAGCTCAAGTCTTTATCAGCAGAGTGCAACAATCACGAATAAAGTAGTAACTTTTATGGCCATTGAAAAACACCGTTTGGAGCGTTCGCCATCTTTTTAAATGAGGACTTTGGCCACACGCTAATCGTTCGAATCAAGTCAACGTTTCTCGTATGACTTAGAAAATTTATCTCCCTTTCCATACATCTACTTGATGACTAAGAGCAACGGTTCACCTACCCAGTTGTTGTTCGTGAATCAGCACCTATCACCACGCCGCCATTGAACTCAACAGCCATTATTGTTGTCTGAAAAAGACCATAAATGAGAAGCTATTCAACAGAAAATGTCCTCTTTTATAAAAAATAACAATTTATCTTACTCCTGTTCTATGTTCTGCTGTTAGCCAGTCTGGATAATCGTCAGAAGCCATGGTTTGTTCACGATGACTTAGCATTCCCGGTTGAAGCATGGCCGCCATTTTGGTTCTGCGAGCCTCGTTCTCGGGTTGAAAGTTTCCTTTTAGTACCCAGATCTCCTCGCTATTGTTTCCAGTCTGCCCCCGGTTGTATCCACTATAAATCGCTATACGGTGGATAGCGCAGTACGTTTTCTTAACAGTTATGCGATGGATAGTGATTTATCCGTTGGATAGCGTTATCCACTCTTTGAACAACTGGGCCCTGGGAGGAGGGCTGCCCTGGTGCTAAAGGAGGGGTGAGCGAAATTCGGGAGGGAGGGGCTAGACCTAACTACGGTTCAAAAAAACGCTGGGGATGGGGGTTTGACGGACAGAATTTTAAACAGGAGACATCGGCAACAAAGTGGATAATTAACACAAATGTGAAATTTAGTTAAAAACCAAAAGATCGAAATAAGAATATGATAAAACACTTGGAAGCTAAAGATGTATGCAAGCACATACCAAAAAATACGACTAAAGTCAATAGCCCATTAAGCAATAGGCTAGTGCTAACTTATACTCGTCATAAGCTGACTTCAGATGAAATAAATACTCATGTTTTGAATAAATAACATTTGTTGGTGGGAAACGAAAACATCATGCAAAGGAACTTGAAGTAAAATTTCAGTAGAAAAAGAAAAAAAAATTTTAAAAAACATACAATTTGTACTGAAAATTTATTTTCTGTTCGTGCGAAAATAAATATGATTTCACGGCTCATGGAGTTTTCATTCTATTCCTTTGGCAAATTGTTTTCAAGTGTTCAGATGATAACGATGTTCAAATAAAGATGCCAGTAATTGTGGAAGACATTTAAATAACTTTTAATTCAAATTTGGATTTTATGACACCATGACGGCCGTCTGGTGCGCCTAATAATAAGCCGATGGTGAATGGGTAATCAAGAGCTCTTCTTAGTTTGCTAATTACACGCGCCATATTGTTATCTTTCTCAGTCAAGTGAACACAAGAGGCTTTACCGAAATAATGTTTAAGCTTGACTATCACGCAGCTAAAGGCGGAGCGCTTCATTTCACAGATCGAAAACTCTACCATCAGCCAGCGTTTTAGCAAAGTACAACCACAGTTGCGAGACTGGTGCGACTCACAGTCACACCAACTACCAGCATTCGTCAAAGCTTCAGTTTTTGTTAACGCGACCATAATCTCAGGTCTATCTATCGTGAAAATATTCGGAAATATCGTAATTTTGCTCGCCCTGAAACGAACTTTTCGACTGCATACCGCATCTAAAGCTCTGTACTTCAGTCTAGCAGTGTCAGATTTATTCGCTGGACTATTTGTACAGCCAGTGTTTGTTAAAAGACTTGTGGTAGGACTGAAGTTCCCAAAACCATGTCGGATTTTTGCAATTATGGCTACTATCCTCGGCGTTATGTCGGTGGGCGTCTCTTTGCAGACCCTCACACTTATCAGTGTAGACCGAGTGCTCGCGCCATTCGCCTAAAAATGCGTTACAAAGAAGTTGCCACAATTTTCCGCGTGCGTCTCATATCAATCTTCATGAGCCCGTCATTTTTCAGTCTTTTCCAGATCCTTGGCATCATCATGTGTGTCGGAGTCTCCACTGTTTCGTACATCATCATCTTCCATACTTTAGGACAGCTGCATAGTCGAGTACAGAACTATGGATCTGAAGAAGAAGCATCCCAGAATGCTTTCAACATAAATCGATACAAGAAATCCGTGTCCACTGCATTGTAGGTGTATGCGTCCCTCCAGGTGTGTTACCTTCCTTTCATGTTGTCACTTATTGCTAAGATTCTAATAGGAATCAGCGCGACATCCCTCGCCGCCAGTTGGTTTGCAGTTTCGCTGATCTACATGAACTCCGCGTTGAATCCCATTCTGTATTGTTGGAAGATTCCAGAGGTGAGGGAGTCTGTGAAAGGAATTATCAAAGAAATTTGTTGCTGTTACAAAAAGTAAAAAGAACAGCTCATCTTTTATCCTGTCGAATTGGTAACAAAATGCATAACACTTTGCACTTTACTTCTGGAAGACGTTGATGCCGGTTAATAAGCTGGATTCTGGGTCAAGAAGTCTGGGTTCAAGACCTGGCCGGGTCAATGTGTTGTGTTCCTGGGCGAAACTCTTCACTCTCGAAGTGCCTCTCCCCATCCAGGAGTAGCAGCGAGCAGTCAGGGAAGCCTAATGAGGTGCGATGGATTGACAAGGGGGAAGGGGAGGGGCAGGGGCAGGGTTTAGTAATATTACTGCGATAATACCTACTGGGTGGATCACTTGGCTCAATACAGACTTTCCTTGTCCTTTATTGTGTTGTGTACTGAGGAACTTACTCCACTTCTATTTACGCAAAACCTTCCTCATATCCCGCCAGATATTTGCTATCTTAGCCCCAGGTATCACGACCCTTGTTATCTAGAGCCTCTTTTATTGCAAATCCTCCCGGTCCTCGAGCTTCCCACCCCACCCGTCTCCAAATCCCTGTTTAGTCCCCTCTCGAGGGAGTGGTATTCAACGTACAAAAGCTGTATCTTCGTAATCGAACACAAAAGTGTAAACGGAGCCAGGGTCTTTTGTATTATAAGCACAATATATACCAACAAGTCAAAATTCAGTCCGAAAGTTTGAGATATATTTTGCTTTTAATTTGTATTGACAAATGAACATGTTCTTTTCGTACTGGCTACTGTTTAAGTCCTGTCTGTGTTAGATCCTCTTAGACCAACTTTTACTGGGATAAGGAGCACGTACTCATGGTTTCCCTTACATGAAAGCCCCTCCTACATGGAAACTGAAGTCTTTAAATGAAGCAACCAAGGGTAGTACACCAGTTAAGAGAAACTTTTTAAGAGAACAGCTTTTTTTAGCAGATATCTTTCCCCCAACTTTGGCTTTCATTTTCTACACTTTTCTGAATGAGCAACTGCAGTGTTGAAAGTTGGGGAAACAAGGTTGTTTACATCCAAAGGTCTCCTGTTTCTTTTTCAAACACCAACCAATTGTCAGTGATAAACAGGCAACTTGTAAAAGTTTCAGAACGTCAAACTTTAGCGAAGTTTGCTCTAGATTTTCAACGCAATTATATATATACATAAATAGGCTAAAAATTATACAGGCCATAAGCAGGTCAAGCTTTAGTGTAGCGAGTTACGACAGCTTTCATTTGCTGGTAGGTGAAAATTACTTTCACTTTTATGTGTGCTCGGCATTAATCAGTTTAGCCCTTGACAATGGTATAAAGCAGACCATTAGTGGCAAAAAATAGAACTAAAGCGACGAATTTTAGCAATTGTTTCAAAACCATTCATTAATTGAGGGTCGTGCATAAATCAAATCTCCCCACAAAATTTAGAATTCATTTCATTTCCTCCTTTATTTGTAGATGACATGATCACGGCTGAGGAAATAGCAGTTGAGGAAAAAAAAGGATTTCATAATTGTTTGAACCACGTCTTGAAGCCAATGCTAAAACAAACATTTTAAGAAACGAGGAAACTTTATGTAGAGAATTGAAAAACCGCAAAGGTGTTACGAAGATTAATGCAAAAAACACTTAGCACCTCTATGGCAAACACAGAAAAGCCACCGCCCTCAGTAATTATGATCATTTGGTTTTATAGGCAGAAAAAATGAACCTTAATTGTACATCAAGCTGCTTTTTGTGGAGTGGAGACTTGAAAAGCCACATTGTTGCAAAACTGAATTCAAAGACCCTCAGAAAACCGCCGAAACGTCGATGGAAACCTCTACCGCCTCTTTTACGAACCAGTATCCCAGCACAGCACTACCAATGTTTCAGAGCTGGTGTGATGCAAAACAAATTCAAGAGTCGACCTTCATGAAGAGCTCGAATGCTGTTAACGCCATGATCAACTTAACGTTGTCTCTAGTGACCATCACCGGGAATGTATTGATTTTGTTGTCTCTCAGGAGAAGTTCTCGACTGCACGCCGCATCAAAGGCCCTTTACTGCAGTCTTGCTATTTCAGATCTAGGTTTTGGTTTGGTAGTCCAGCCAGCGTTCTTTATAAGGCTCGTGGCAGGGCCATCGATACCAGAGACATGCGAGATTCTAGGAGTCATTATCAATGTCGCTGGGGTTATATCTGTGGGGATATCCTTGCAGATATTGTCAGCTATCAGTGTGGATCGTGTCCTTGCTATTCGGCTCAAGATGCGTTACAAAGAAGTTGCTTCTGTTTTCCGCGTGCGTCTCGTATTAATCACTTGTTGGTTCTTCAGTACTTTCCATGCGTTTTCGATCTTCTTCAGCCCGGCATTCTTCAGCCTGTTTCAGATCCTTGGCATCATTTTGTGCATCGGTGTCTCCACTGTCTCGTACATCATTATTTTCCACACTCTGCGAAAACTGCAAAGTCAAGTTCAGAACTACAGTCTCGAGGAAGAAGCATCGCAAAATTCCTTCAACATAAAACGGTACAAGAAATCCCGGTGTCCACTGCACTGTGGTTGTATGCGTCCCTTCTAGCGTGTTACATGCCATTTATGTTGTCCCTTATCGCCAGGATCGCTTGGGGAATGAGTCCAACATTTCTTGCAATACAGTGGTGTACTGTTTCTATGATCTACATGAACTCCGCGTTGAATCCTATCTTGTATTGTTGGAAAATCCCCGAAGTGAGGGATTCAATGAAGGGAATTATTAAAGAATGCTGTTGCTGTCGCAAATAAGCGACATGAAACAAACCAATTTAGTTTTATTGATTTGAATGAGCGGCAAGTAAACAGTACCCATGCATGATTTTCGTTATAAAAATGCAAATCAACTTCATTTACAAGTTACTTTAAAGACGACGAGGACGTTGACGGCATCAAGAGAATATAAAATTATCTTGACGACAAAGAAATCTGTGTACATATTTTCAAAAACTAAGCAGCTTAGTACAACTTTAAAAACGCAACACGAGTGTTTCAAACAACCACTTTATAGTTCGTTCATGGAAAAGGTACTAAACCTTCTTAAATTGGATATAGGAACTTAAAATACTCCATAAATAAGCTTTTCCGTTTTTGCGTCGAATCACAGATGATGTCAATAGTCCTAATGTATGATAAAATAGCACAAGGAGGAAAGTGCTGTACCTGCGGTGTTTGAATAGTGCAGGGTGCTTTGACGAGAACCTCCTTGGAAAACTGAGCGTGAGCAATTGAGCAGTGACAAATAGAAGTGGTGCAAAATACAATTAGCCTGATTTGACTTTAGCCTTTTATTGCGATTCATTTTAGTTGATGCTCTTTTCTTTTTCAAATCTCCCTATCCTATTTTGCCTTGCTGAAATCTTATTTATGACATATCTTAGTAATTATGCATAAATCCAAGGTGACAGACGCGAAGGCCTGGCACTACGTGTGTTCGATTCCAGATAGAGAGGTCTGGGTTCGAGACCCGGCTGGGTCATTGTAATGTGTTCGCAGGTGTAAAAAATCCATTTACGAAAAAAGAGACTAGAGTCCAAACTCCGTAGAAAATACGTATTAAACTTGTCAAATGAACCACAACATTTGGCTAAAATAAAAACTCTGAAACTTCTTAAATCTCCGAGCAAAGGAGTAACAAACTATTTACGCGAACGAAAGCTCATAACAACTAAAACTCCGCGAAAACAAACCAAAAGTACGCGAAAAATGTCCACGTTAGTTTTCCTATGTCAAGGTTAGAGTTCTTTGACGTGATTGGCTAATTTGTGAAATCACCCACGCCGCGTGTGAATACAAAAAGGATACAAAGGGGGGGAGGGGGGGGGAGAAGAAGAGGAAAATTGTCACTTGAAATTTAACTGAGAACGAAAGAGATTTTCTATAGAGGGCAATAAGCATAACTCTCACACTGCCTCTCTCCACTCAGGAATTCAAATGAGAGCCGGGTAATTTTCAAGAGAACCAAAGGGATTTCCGAGGGGTCACTTGCTATGAGTTGCTAATGCAATGGTACAAAATTCGCGAAGAGATGGGGTAGGAATGCGGCACGGTCACGTTAGCGAAAGGTTTAAAGCGAAACAACTGACAGCGTTTGAATGAACGACATTTTTTAAGCGAGTGGCGTAATGTTTCGAATTGGTGTTGCACACTTTTGAAGAAAACCGCTGTACTTGATTGAACCGACTGTACAACAGTCAAGTAATAAGCAATTACAACGTTGACAGCGCGTGACCAAGACAACTTCCTGAGAAAACGAGAAGGTCGTGTTTAGGAGACGGAGGCATTCATAATTAATAGGTAAGTAATAATGAGAACAGAATTTTCTCTTTTATAATAGATCCACTGAATTTTTTAGCATCAAGCTTGTATGTGTGTGTGAAATTAAAATTTGCCCATACTTGTTTCTTACGTCATTGATATAGAAGTGTTTTGGCGTTGTATTGTACTATCGTAATGACATTTTAACGAGCAGTTTCTGCTGTGTTGTGTAACAAACGCAATCTATAGTCATGAATACATCGAAACTAACTAAATTCAGACCACAACTTGTGAAATATGTGATATTAAACATTCTTAAAGTGTTAGCAAACTTTGCAAAGTCACATCGGAGGTCACTAAGTCATGTAAGTCTGTTACTTGCGAAGGAAACTCTGTTTGGTTTCATTTTGATACACGTCCAAATTTTCCAATCTTTAATAGTCCAGCTATCGCGAGAGGTAAATAGAAACACGTAATTTAGTTTCTAAACTGAGAATTGTTCCTACCTAATGGAATACGACTTGCCAATCTTCAAGATTATTTGATTTCCGATTCAGCTCAAACCCTCTTTCGTTTGAATGTGTGGAAACAGGAAAAAAGAAATTATCTTAAAAATCCTCCGTCTTAACATATAATCTGAATTTAACAAAGTTCAAATCCGGAGTGCAAGAGGGATTTTTGCTCTCTTCGTTGAATTATGAGAAATATTCTGCAGCAATCACAGCTGGAGTGTTGTAAGCCAGAACAGTTGATTTTGCTCTTCGTCTGTGACAAGCCTTGTGCGTCACTTGTAGTTGTCAATATTCGACTTTTGCTAACTGTAAGAGGAAAAAGATTTCCATGTGTTTTTCTGAGGTAGAATGATTCCGTATGAAAAGGAAAACTGATTACCATTAAAAGCGAAAGCAACAGAATTGTTTAAAACATCGTGTGCGAGTGTTGTATGACACATTCTTTACCCATTATGACAGAGAAAGTCCCTTGGCTCTCGTTCAATTTTACTTGGCATCGAAGGAGGTAATTTTTTTCAGCGATTTGCAAGGAATTAAAGTAAATCTTTTACGAGATGAGGGAAGGAAACTATTATGTGCCAAGTAGCGCTGGACGCAATCGATACACTAAATCCCTGAATGCAGAAATATAACCCTTCACCAAAACAGAAAATGGCCTTAGCAGTCATTTGCATTACTATTCGGGTATTCTCTTACAGTCACGCTCTTCAAATGAGTCAGCAAGGTCGTGCATATACAGGTTCTATGACTAATCCATTATATTTAGCAACAAATAAAATCCCCCCTTTGTAATGCTAAAGAAAGAAAATTAGGGTCAGTGCCAAAAAATGATTGAATTTTCCTCTTTTTTTATGTGTGCGGTAATAGCCGTTTTGTCGTTTCATCGGAAATTGAACCTCGCATGATTTTCCGGCCACGATTGTTTAATAAAGAGAATGATGGATTTCTTTAGCTCCAAACAATCACGATGGATCGTAATTGAACACAAGGAAAACTTGAAAAATCTCAGTTTAATGTTCTATCAGTTTTCCTGGCACCACAACACTGATTAGTTTTCTTGGCTAAGTTTAAAGTTTGTATGCAATCTTCGTATTCAATTAACTATACTCGAGACTCATTTGACTCCTGGGTGCCGTTTAAGTATTCAGTCTCTCTTTTTAAATAAATCATCAACGATGGGAAAAAAGACAAATGGTACGAGATAACAGAAGAGGATTTGTGGAGATAAGAGAGTCTTTCAGCATGGTTTGCTGTCATAATATATCATTATGATAATTCACTGCATTCAACTGATGGGAATATTTGAAATATACTTGTTAAAATCGAATAAATCAATGTACAGTAATATTCGAAATGCCCTACATTACTCCAGTTGTATCTATATTTATACTACGCCGAGACAGAAGGTAACAGTCTCCCCAAAACACTTTACGAGTAACGTTTAATTCATTTTTTTTATTAGACTGATCTGTTGTGTATTTAGACGTTAATAAACGTCGCTATTCATTCATTAAAATCATTCGTAAGTGGCTATGAATCTTTAAAGCGCTTCGATGTGTTGTTTTTAAATGATCCTTCTCATTCGATGTATGATGGACATTTATATACTGAAAGGAAAAATTGACAGTTGCTGTATGATAAAACTTTTTATCATACAAACTACGGTGTTGTACAAGGATTTCCAGCCCTGAGAAAAGCCGTAACAACACTCGTGAAAAAAATACGATATTTTTTCACGTGTGTTTGATATCGCCAATCAGCTGCTGAACGTCACACGCCTTTCACGCCACTCGGTCAGGTTGATGAATGAACGGTAAAGCCTTCACCATTCTCAATCCAAGGTCGTTTGTCAGAATATTTTCGGATTATGTCTGCTAAAAAACCGAAATATTCCTATCGACGCTTACAGAGAGTGACGTTCAAACTTTCCTAGAAAGGGAAGAAAACCAAAATACGAAATGAAAAACCGAAAATTACGTATTTAGTGGCTTTGGTAATGGCATTTTTCGCGGCTGCCGCTGGAAGATTTGCCACAGGCCGATTTTGGCCGGGTACTTGAATGATTTCCTCTGTCGGTAAGGACCAATTCAATAATTCAGAATCTTGTATATTGAAAATTAGGCCCATTGTTTGTTTTTTTTTGCAGTGATTCTGGGATTGTCGATCCTTTTATTTTCATTCATTAAAAGTAGAGTCGAATTTTCTTGTCAGTAAAAGGCTATTGTGTTTATATGATAAAAAAAAATAACACATACTTGCTTGTAGATATGAAATTTCTCTTCTCGTATTCAACTCAACATCTCACTCGTTCGCTGTGCTCACTCGTGAGCTATCGAGTTAAACATTCGAAGGGAAGTCCATATCTACGCGCGCCCATGTATTATTGTCTATATATAATAAATAATAACAACACTCTTTTTCATTACATGATAATTTAGAATGCCTATAAATACGCGATGAAATAATAAGATGCAATGTTTTTCAACTGCAGATTTAAGGCGTTTTGCCGCGACCATCACAAAACGCTGTTTTGGAAAAATGGCTTTCTTTTAAGACTTCCTCATAAATGACACCCACTGAATGCACTTATTTCTTTTCCACAAAGGAACAAGAAGAATAACAGCAGATTGATTCATTACTACAGTGAGAATGAATTCGACACAGCTCTGCACTTCATTCTCAAAAAGGTAAGCGTAGATTTTTTGTCTAACGTTTTATTAAACAATACGGTATTTAAACTTTACGCAGAAACCGCTTATCACGAAAGAGATCGACAAGATTTGCAGAAGAGAAAACCATCATAGCTACCCGAAAGAATTGTAGTTGTTGAATTTGCGGTTTAAAAGAAAATAAGAATTTTGACGATTTGTGGCAAAAATTAATACCCTGAATAAATGTGCAGATTTGCTATCCATGTTTGCGGCCAAGAGATTTTAATGGTTTTTAAAAGTTTTAAGTGACTGGTTGCTGTATTTAGGGATTATGAAATCACTCTCAACTGGGTAAGCATGTTCAAAAAATTTCAAGTAACTCGCCTGTTCCGATAGAATGGCGCATTTTAAGCTAGGGATTTCTGATTTCTGATTTTATCCATTTTAAGTGGTTTTTGGAAGTATTGAGAGCACTTTAAACTGAGACAGGTCAAAGTCATGATTAAGTGTGATCAGATGTTCCTTTTTTCCTCCGATCGGACGTTCTTTCTTCTAGAACAAAAGGCTTTAGCGCATAGTTTCAATCCCACCCGATGTGTGCGACAGAAACGCCTTCTTTAACTTCCTCTATGGTTTTAGGGGCCACCATGAAGAAAAACAACAATTAACAAAAACATTCCGGTCCACCCTTTCAGTAATATATTTAAATATATTCAAAAGAAAAGGGCATTATGTTCGAATGTTTACCTCCACCTTGACAATGCCGATAAAAGCGTTTGAAGATACTGTTTCGGAAGTAAGTGGCATTACAGAATGTAACAAAGATATGTAATCTGTGATGGACGGCTGATAAACTATTGCTACCGAATTTGTAGATATACCTAAGAAAATCATGTCATAATAGCTTACTTTGAGATAATCTTCACTCGTGTGCGTTAGCTTCCATTTATCAAAATACTAGTTCTACTACATTTCTCTTGTCCTGAAATTGAAGAATTTTACTGATGTTTTGCCTAGATATGGTTTCCCCAAGATAAGATATTGAACGCGTAACAGTGTAACGATGTGAGTCATTTTTCGAATGCAAACAATTATGTGACTTTCTTCTGCCCTGTACGATTTTTTATCATGAATTAGGTGGCGTAAGTTCTTCTTTAATTTTTTTCAAAAGCTGCTGTTATGGCTGGTATCCGGTTTTCACTTTGAATTAAAGCTATAACTAGCTTCACAAGGCTCGTCTCTCTTCAGTTGTCACCTAATCGTGACCTATGAATCAAGCTAGTCTATTTTGCAGTTCAATCGACCAGGGGAGACTTTCAAAATGAGGCTTTTAACGCAGTTATTTCCTCCATTTCAATTATTTTTTTGCTGTCAGGATGTCATCAATTTTCTAACAAATCTCAGTATTTTCTTAAATTACAGCTAATTCTTTTTCATTGATCTTGATCAACCGAAGCCTTCCTTCTTCCGCTCTGAAGTAATTGAGAACGAATATTTCTTTTTTATTTGTTTTCGGTTGCATCAAAAATAGCTGGCGCGAAACATGTTCTCAGTTCTCTTGACGACACCTGAAGAAATATTATTCAAGTAAATCATTCAAAGAGCCCTCTCTAAAGCGCAAATAAAGGTAGCTTTTATTTTGTACGCAAACATTGGACATACATCATGTTATTTCTTTTGAATACCAAATTTAGTTTGTTTACTCTATGTGAATACCAATTTTGTTTTAAGTGTTAACTTCGCGAAATTTCGCATTTTAATGTCAACTTTGCGGCTTTGCCTTTTTCCGCTGGTATATTACTTTATTACTGTATTCAGCGGACACAGTTGTATGGGTCTTTGAACTTTTCGGCTTTAATTCCAAATGAGCATACGAAGAGAGGATTTCTAAGCCATCGCCCGTTTATCAAATGAAGGACTCCTGAAAAGGAATAAAGAAAGCCAGTCAAAGAGCGATGATAAGTTTCTCGTAAGTACAACAAAAACTTTAATGTACAGAGAAAAAAGGCTATTACTTGAAAAAACAAAAGACTGTTTTGTATTGTGTGTCGTGTAGCAGTATCATACGAGTTTTGCTTTTCTAATGAGAGAGGTCGCGCAACTGAGTTTTCACTGGGACTTAACGATAACCTTAGCTTCGAATTTGAGAGGAATTTTTCTGAGCTAATGTCTTGTAAAATACGCCTCATTTGATGACAGGGAAAGAGTTATTTTTACCTTTATTGTTTGATTTGTTTGTAGTTATTAATTTTGCCGAAAATTACCGTCCAAGGGAAGAGGGCTACATAATTTCATGAACTGTTTGGAGGAGAAAATATTCATGTCCAAAGAAATGAACAGAGATCTTCATAGATGCTCTTTTGTAACATAACAATGAGGAGGGAAAAAGACTTGTCTTTCGCTTGAGTTGTTAGGCTTGAATTCTCAATTGTTGTGCAAAAAAAGAAAAGGATTTTTGACGCAGTTCACTTTTATAAACCAGTTAAGAAAGAAAACAAGGCGAACTTCAATTAGGCATCAAAGCTCATGACGTACTGTGGAATCAATTAATTAAAACAGCTTATAAATTATTTTGGTCTTTTAGCAATATCATAGCAGATTATTTAAGGAAAAACGTCGTCCCGCTGAGATTTCATCCGGACAAAACGAGATTGCTTGTGGTAGAAATGAGTCATGATGATGTTTATTCATGTTTTTTTTTTTTTATCATTTTTGGCAAACTATCGTTCTGAGTTAAATGCGATAAGCGACAGGAAGGAGGGAGCTTAATTTCAAGTATGTAAGAGTGAATGCTTTTGTGTGAAGAGTTATGGAGATCTTTTTCAAACGTGTGCTGTTGTTTAGTTAGATTTTGGGTACAAGGGAACAGATTTATTATTATTTGAAAGCTCTGCTAAAATTCTAAATTATCTTGTATAGAATATTCTCAAGGAAATATTAGTTTATCAATCCGTGTTAATATTAACAAAAATTGTTAGGAAGCCGAGAATCGATAAGGGGTTCCATGTAACTAACAAAGCATATAGAGTGCAGAGGCATCATTTGACTGAAACGTCCACCACCAAAACTCTAATACGTGGGACACAGGAAATCACACGAGTTTCTTTCATTTGAAAAGAGTCCTTGAACTGAGTTCATCCAGACTAAAAAAACTATCTGCAATCGAGAGGGAATATACTGAATTTTTACTGTTGAACACGTTGTTTTCACGACCAGAAAGAAATTCTATCAGATTATTTCTTTGCGTGCTGTTGTCTTTGAGGAAATCATGGCGCACGATAAGAGCGGAAATTAATGCTTTCATGTTAGCGGCAATTTCGGGGATACATTTCTTCTTTTTTGAATTGTACGGCTCAAATTCCAACATTTATATGCAGAGAAAAGAGTTCCGTGTGGTCTGTTTTATCAACCAGTAATTGATAAAAAAGAACAGTAAAGCGAGATAAAGAGGGCAGCGAAACTAATTGATTAATTAAAACAGGCTGATAGCTACCAAAAGTCAGTCGTATTATGTGTCGTGTAGCAATATTAAATAAAGAATAATACATGGCGCGCGAGTGTTAAACAGTGCGCTCACCCGTGAGAGTTGAACACGAGAAGAGATATTTCATAGCTACAAGAATTTACATATTATTTTGTTTACCATGTGAAAAACAATTTCAGCAAACAACCTTGGATTGAGAATGGTGAACCCGTTGCCATTCATACATCAACCTGACAGAGTGACGCGAAAGGCAATTGACGTGTCAGTAGATGATTGGCGATTTTAAACACGCTTGAAAAAATTATCATACCTTTTACTCGCGTGATGTCACGGCTTTTCTCAGGGCTAGAAATCCTTGTAGAACACCGCAGTTTTTATAACAAACTAAGTTTTTTTCTTAATACAAAAGCAGCTATCGTTATAAAGGGGAATAGGAAAATATTTCTGCGTTTCAGGTGACAGTTCAATCTTTGTCTAAGGCGACCTGTTACATTACTGGATGAGTAAGCAGTACATGTCCTCTGAATGAAGTTTGGAAAACGAAAAGCTTAACTTGTTAATCTGATTTTTTGAGTCTTTTGACATATTTTCCCCATTCTCTTATCTTTCACAGTCCTTCTTCCTCCGATGGAGACTCCATGGTTCTGTGGCACATACAGATAGTGTATATAACGATCGTCATCAGCATAGCACTCATTGGAAATTTTATCATCTTCACAGCGATCTGCAGCATCAGACGTCTTCATACAATCGATAATGTGTTCATTGCTAACCTGGCTGTTAGTGATTTTCTCTTCACGCTCATTGAAACATGTTCCAACACAACCCGGAGGCACAATGAGGCCTGGAAACCACCCCACGACTTTGTATGTTATGTAATAATGGCATCAAGTGTCCTCTGTGCGTCCGCTTCGGTGTTCACTCAGACAGCAGTGGCTGTCAATCGACATTTCGCCATTACGCGGCCGCTCCAGTATCCAAACTTTGTTAACAAAACTAAAATATATATTTCCATTCTAATAATATGGATCTTTGCAATCGTTCTCGCCTCCCCACCGTTGATTTGGCGACCTCATAACGTTATTTGCGGTGAAGTGGAGTCTTATGACAAAAGCCCCACTTTTGAGAAGGTCTACATGACTGTAGAATGGATTTTTATCTTCATAATCCCGTTTGGAACCATGTCGGCCATATATTTTAAAATCTATCAAATCGCTCGGAACCACGCCAACCGAGTGAAGCCTGGTACGAGCGAAGAGTCTGCCTCACGCACTGGCACCGGCGGTAGTGTGAGAAGAATTCAGATATCAAATTTCAAAAGACAGTTAAAAGCTGCCAAAATGTTGGTGACCATCGCTGGTGCCTTCCTGGTCAGCTGGCTTCCATTCTTCGTGACCCTTACGCTGTGGAAGTTTCAGAAAGGAATACAGATAAATCCTAAAGTTTTCACCATATTCCTGTACGTTGTTTACACTTTACCCGCCGTTAATCCTGCAATTTACGCCTTTTGGTCAAGAGATATACGAAAAGGGATAAAACAGCTTTTGTTCTGTTGCAAACGAGACAGGTAGGAAACATAAAATCAGACGAGTGAGGGAAAGAACGAACGAAAAAGGTATCCTTCGAGCAGGCCTTTATAAGCCGCTCGGCACGAGGAGTTCTGCGCCCGCGAGCGGCACGATGGGTTCTGCGCCCGCGGGAAAGTATGAGGACTTGAGCAACGCGAGTTGTTGAGAGGTTTACAAGGAGCCTAGCCGGCCAGATCACAGGCATACCACAAATCTTCCTGCGGGCAGAGAAATGCGTATCCTGCAGAGCTTGATACGATGGCCTATCCAAAGGGTACGAATAACGCAAAAAATGAACGTATAATTGAACTGGCGCGAAAGAGACTGCCAAGTAACCCTGCATTAAGTTAAGGATCCTTAGCGAACTTAACTCTAGGTCGTGAACGATCTGGAAACCGAAAGAGGACACTTTTTGGCCACACCTTTCAATTTATGCTTATATATGCGCGAGTTTTAGGAGTCTTCACTGATGCAGTTATTTAAAGATGATTTTATGAAAGATGTAGTGAAATCTTCAACTTGATATAAGGTGCATTCTTTTCATTCCCGCAAGCAAACAAAGTTTTCAGTTTTTATCCCTGAATAAACCAAGATTGCGAGCGCAACACACGAAAGCGGCTGAAGTTCAGCATTGTTGTCCTTCTCAAAAAGTCACCCGACTTGATTGTTTATAACAGATGATGATGATGATGATTATTAATCTCGTACCCAGATCCTACCTGTAACTGTAACTGTTACTGAAATGCTTACGATTGCTTGGCCGTGTAAGGTCTGGGTACGAGACTAGGTAATAATGATGATGAAGATAATAATGAAATATATGATAATTATGATAATTATTGCATGGTCAGTTCTGGTCTCACATCTCCTAGTTGACAGAATCATTCTTTTCCATCTCACATAATGTAGACGGCAATAACCATCTCTTTGTTCTAAGCAAGGGGATCTCTATACTGAGAATGGAAAGCGCATGAGTGTGAACTTCCCGTGGAAAAATTACCCAGGAGGCAGGTTGGTCTGCCAGTCCTTCTCAAAGAGTTATTGCCAGGCTCGATTTTTGGCGTTTTCTCGTGTCCAGTCCTCGATCGTCTCCTGGGGAAGGAGTTCGGGTTCAGTTCCTGAACAGCGTGTGGTGATCAAGCCGAAGTTTTTGCTCACCAGATTTCTTTTTTCGTGTGATAAACTTAAGAAGCATAGCACGACACGGAGCTACAATTCCATAAAAATATTTTGAAATGAACGATTTTTTATTGACGTTTCAGTAAATTCGATTTTTAGTGATTCAGCTGTGACATTGCCCCTCTTGGCATGCTTGACAGCGTCTGGAGTCATGTGACTGGCGCATTCTTCCGTGTCTTTTACTATTGTTGGAGTCTTCCTGTGGAAAATCGTAGAAATCCTGGAAAACGAAGAGAAGATCATTTTTACTACAGATAGTACAATTTTATTAAGAATGACGGAAGCAAAACCGATGCGATCCCAGCGGCCCATATCAAATTATTACATTGAGCCACAAGTAAGTAGACTGAAAGAGAGAAAACTGCCTGAAGTGTGAGGAAATAATGGTGACCATGTCATAGTCGGTTTGAGTTTTGAATACGATTAGCTGAGAAAATGGCGTGAGTTTTTTATACCATAAACACAGCGTGGAAACCAAATGCAGCGGTGATTTAGTTTCTTTGCTCAATTGAAAATTGCTCTATTTCATTGATGATCTATAGACGTGTCCAGTTTCATTCAGAAGGTCGATAATAGCAGTTAGAACAAGTGATTTGTTTACATAGATTCCACTACGCTTTTTCGGATTTTATAATCATCTTATTGACAATTTACTAAAAACCGTCAGATGAAAAACTTGATGTAAATCGGTGTGTGTCGAAAACGTGAAAAAACTGTACCACTCTTCCATACAAACTCACGATTTATTCGCTTGATTCAACAATTTTGCTACTACGCTTCGGTTGACTCCCACTCACAACTCTCGGCTTACTTGAAGGAAACACACTCAACGTCCTGTTGTAAGCACGTGGAGCAGTGCCATACATGAGACGATAAAACATGTGCTGCATACAGGTTTACTTAATTATGTATAAATAAACCATGAAATCCCTTATAAATGTCAATCAAATCGAGAATAATTAACGCATCGTACAGTTCCCCAACATGTGTAATCTTCTATTGACTGCTTGGAGGGCTGTAGAAATTTTACCCAAGGCTTATTTTCAGACGCATCGCCCTCATAGAAATGGGACGTTTTATCTGAGTAAAGAAGGGTTTAAGCTTCTTTCACGATAACCTGTCTGCAGGCCTGTGAGGCTATGTTCCAGCGGCATTGTAAGCGTGGTATTTGAATGTGGTATTCATGAGTATGGAATACACAAGGTATCCGAAAAAGTGACTATTTGCTGTTTTAATTTAAAGTTAATAATCTTCTTAGAGTTAAAACTACCTTTCCTATCTTTTTATGAACGTTTTCCAGAACTCTTTTGACCTCGTCCTCGTACCACAGCGGATTGATAAATGTCCCATCTTCACATATTTTGCACTGCTGACCGTACAGCCTGAACCTCAAGGAGTCTAAGAAGGAAAAAAAACTCATTTGTTGTCAATAATGCATCGCAAAAAGAATGAATAGATTTACCAAGAGAGGAAGCATTCTCAAGCCCAATATATTGTTTCAACAACTGAATCCCGGTTGAGGTCTTCCTTCACCTTTTGTATGTCTCGCTACCCTAGAATATTCTGGTGGAAATGGACATTGCATAAGGTGTCCGCCTGAACAAAATTCTTGAATCAGGATCGGTTAAATCTAGTAATTGATCTAAAAACGGAATTGATCTCAAAATGACTCGAAGTGGATTAACTCAATGTGATCGTTTCCTTCAAGAGACTATAAACTTGTGTGTCAGTATGATAGATTCAACAAATTTATCAACAGAGTTTTCGTTCGACTAAACATGAATTTCTTACATTTATTTGTCTCCTTCGGTTCATCTTTTTGTCCTTTTTCTTCCGTCTTCAATTCTTTCTTGTTGTCTTTCTCGTCACTCTTCTTGTACCAAAATATAATCCTTCCCATCATTGAAGTCCACGAGTTATTGCAATCACAGAGAAATTTGACTTTGGCTTTATCCCTAAATTTTCTCCAATCCCTTGGCATTTCTTTGTCAGTCGGCTCCAGTGTCCACTTGTCCGGATTGAAGACCTTGAAGATGTCATCAAAGGTTGTATGCCAGAATTGTGACAATTTTAGCTGCGGTGTAGCGTTATCACCCCGTGAAGCCATGTTATACCTTATGGCTGATTTACAAAGCAACACAGGATTGTCTTTCTTCACTGAAAAAAAAAAAAATTAGAAAATTAAAGGCTATGGTTAAAATTTGTTTAAATGAACGGAAATAAAAACTACTTGTCCAGTTTTCTCGTTTTTAATTCAACAGCAATCTGCACGGCTTTTGTGACTGGCTTTACACCAATCTTAACTTACGCATCTAGAACGGTACGGTTTTCTGTTTGATTATTTACACGTAACAGTGAATTTTGTACTTTCGGTTTTTACCTACGATAGCTAACTTTTCACTTCCTGTCTGCGAGGCTGTATTCTTATGCCTATCTCATCCTTCGTCGGTGTTTGTTTTTAAAAGACACCTACATTTATTGCTTAGCCGAGATTAAAAAAAAGGGAACGTTTTATTTTAAGATCTATCTTGCTGCCCGATGGAGAGCTTCGATGTAAGGTGCGTGTCTTCACATCGCCGTGTTTTTCTCATTGTATGAATTAATTATTAGGTGAAGACAACATCGAACATGTGTACAACTCAAATAAACATTTTGACTTTGAAATCTGAGTTAAGAAATTAGCTTACATAAATATTCACCATCTATCTGTGTGATTCACAGAATTAAGGATCTCGATTTATATCTTACCTTGCTATTTGAGGTTTCAGTTTATTCCAGCAGAGAGCGTCGATGCCGGAGCTTTCAGATCCAGTCGGCTAGACACAAATTTTCTGGGTTAAATTCAAATTACTTCCACCTGTATTTACTGTAGTCAGTAATGTGCCGATTTCTTTTTTTTTTCACTTGTTTTAACGTAGCTTCTACTCTAGATCGCTGAATCATAACTATGATATCAGCCAAGAACGATCGATGATGTTATTTATACGATTTAGATTTCCGGTTACTAAGAAAAGCTCTGATTCCGGGAAAACACCGCTGGGGTTTCTCCCAGTCTCTTCTCTACTTGAATGTGTGATGCTGTTCAACACATCTGATTGGCTAGTGGCTTGCATGAAGGAGTGCCCTTTTGAAAATGTATATCAACTTGTATTACTTGTTTTGATGCAGTTTCTACACTAGATCGCTAAATTATAACTATGATATTAGCCAAAAACGATGACTTTATTTATACGAGTTCGATTTCCAATTACCTAGAAAAGCCCTGATTCCGGGAAAACACCGCTGGAGTTTTCCCTGGTCTCTTCTCTATTTGAATGTGTGATGACAGCAGCTGGGAACTGTTAAACACATCTGATTGGTCTATAGGAGGTAGTTTCGTGTTGAAAATGAATATCAGCTTGTATTACCGACAAATAATATCTGTTTCTTATAACCAAACTCAATGACTCCAATCAACTCAATCAACTTAAATGAACAGAACGAAACGAGATTGCTTGTGGTAGAAATGAGTCATGATGAAGTTTATTTTAATGTTTTTTTTATCATTTTTGGCAAACTATCGTTTTGTGTTAAGAGCGACGGTCAGGAAATATCGACCAAAATCTTAATCTCGTGGCAAGAGTTGAAAAATCGTCAAAATCGGTTAGGGAAATTACGCTAGCTAATGGTCTCCTACGAAGATAATAAGGCGACTCGACGGATCATCATATTGACAATTGACATGTATTTATAAAGCGGATAACAACTTAAACAATTAATTTTGGTCCGAAGAACACTCTCTTATTTTGGTGTTAACAGGGATGTGCCGCTGAAGAGGATATGACTGGGGTCTTCCTATATGGGAAGCATTAAACAGGGTAAACGTTGAGGTGCGCAGTCTGAATGCAAAATACCAAACATTTTTGAAATCTAACTCCATCTATAACTCTAAAAAAAACTGGATTCGGTTTGTGATTTAAATGAATCATGGCTAGAAATCGAGGACAGCCAGCGGTTTTGACCGTACGCCAATTTTTAGGGATTTTGAATAGCTAATAAGGATTTATACATTCGCAAAATGGTGGGGAAGCGAACGTATACTTTTTACCGTGCAGTAGATTTACAATTTACTAGCCTCAAGTAATTCTACTTGACATATGTAAAAACAAATAAATGCGAAACCAAACACTGGTTGTAAATTCCAAGCTGTGCAAAATCTAGCCTAAGTCCGTATTAGACAAGCACCAACCCTTTGCTGATGCTTCCCTGTGATCGTTCGATCGTGACAAAACGGGGCTCCCTGTGTCGCTCTGGCTTGGTAACCTCTCTGTTTTGAAAATGGCGGCTGATCGAAGGAGTTAATTGAAAAAGTCTCCAAAATGCCTTCTTTTTCGATCGCTTCGTGCAGTAATGGCGCAGAGATTCACTCTGTGGAATTTCTATATTTCAGGGAAAAAACGAACTGGTTTAGCAAAGAAGTTAGGCCTCTAAAACCGTACAAAAATGAAGATAAAGATATCCTTCAAGAACCAGGACGTGGGGAAGGAAAAACCGACATCTAATGACCTTTTTTCTTGCTTAAAGAGAAGCGCTTAGGCAATATTACAGACTTATGTATGGCCGAGGAAAGCCATCTTTTTATGGTGACTCACGGACCAACTTTGGGAGCTTGACACATTGCCAAATGAACATGACTGAAAGCCACGATCGCCTTGCGAAGGTTTAGACTTGGGGAAGTGAGCGATTCTTCTTTTCTCCCCAGTAATCTAATCCTTTATATGGTCGCCATATTTAAAGAACGGGAAAAGCAAATGACGCGCATGCTCCAGCGCCATGTTGTCCTCAATTTCTGGCCATGATGGGAATTCTGTAATGAGTCATAACAAGTTGGGTCCTGTCTTGATAAGGATGGCAAAATGAAGGTCCTTTTTTGTCTGAAAAAGGTAAGTGACTCAGCGGCATATCCCCACCTAACGTTCCCATAAGAACCTTCAATTTCCCAGGTTAAGATCTCTTTTCAGGTAAATACGAAAAACAACATCCCAATACAAGAAGATTCCCGTCAGGGCAGGGAAATCACGCGAAAACCTGATCACGTCATTTTACTGTTGACACGAGCAGTTGCTACAAAACGTGGAAAGTTTGTCGGCGTAAGGCCAATAAGTCTTCAATAAAGGGGTAAGTTTCTAAAGAAACTGTGGTGCTGCGTCGGTGGGGGAGTATAGCAGGTAATTTAGTGTTAACAACTGGGTTGAAAACGTAAATTAGCCACCGTGAAGAGTAAAAAAGCTGACGTTTCGAGCGTTAGCCCTTCGTCAGAGCGATTGATCTTCAGTCTGACTGTTATATGACTGACGTCTAAATCAAAGTGCTCGCATAATCTCTTCAGCATTTTATGCTAAATTTGTTCAGTTTACCTTGCTTAACAAGGTCACACATATTATGACATTCAAACACGATTGGATGTTGTAATGAAACTTCCCTCCGTACTTGATTTGTTAGGTCCTCAAGGGAACTCTCGAACTCCGCGGCTTCGTCATCATTTTCTTCTGTGTCATCCTTGTCAAGTAAACTCTTTTGGGTAGCAAGGCGACTGAAAAAGCTGCTTATTTGTTGGCTAGTGAGGAACTCAGCGCTGCTGAATAAGCGTTCTCCGTCATTTCCTCTGGCGTGCATCATTTCTTTTGCAACAACTAGCGGGTCAGCTTTGCGTCCCGTGGTCTCACCAATATTGAACTTTGTGGATAGGTACTCTTTCTGCTTTACATTAAAACGTGTTCTTCGGTTCTGGGATGATCTTAATGCCCAGCCCATAGGGAGAGTAGACTGTAGTGGCACTTGTTTTGGCACTTCCTGAACATTTCGCACACAGGGGACGCCCACCGTTTGAACCTCCAGTCTCTCCGCATATCCATAAACAGCTTGGTCTAGGAGTGGTTCTCGTTCGAGAGCACGTGTGTGTTTTCCGGAGTCTAGGTGTTGCTGCAGATTCGAGTAAGTTGGTAACATTTGATACATCCCTCTTCCGGACATGAAAAAAGACGAGCGTTGGAGGTTTCCGTTTCTGTTTCGTCACTCGAGTTTTCACTGGAACTATCTTCATCGCTCTCCTGTCTCGGAACAGTATCTTTACGCTTGGATTTTACAGGGGCAAAACTCGCTGTGACACCTTTCTTATTTACATCCGTTAAGTACGGAACTTCCGAATTTTCCGAGACGTTCAGCTTATACCGAGGAGTGTATTTCCTTCTACAAATTCTGTATGCTCTCCAAACTCGTAATCCCTTGTCATAGTACTGTACATTCGAAATTGAACCCACTCCATCAAGCTTGATGTTCAAAGAAGCTGGAGCTTTTGGGGGTCTACACGAAGTCACCCTCACCGAGGACATTCCACCGGCTGACAAAATGGCTTCTTTCATTTCTTCTGACGTTTCAATGTTGTTTCCGGAATTCAGGTAAATCTTCATGTGGGATTTTATAGCTGCGAATCTTCTGTCGCAAGCCCCTTTTCCTCCTTGAGGATCGCAAAAATCCATGCGCTTCACAGTCACGCCGTGATGTTTACCAACCATGTGAGCAAGGCTGATTGTGTTACCACAATGGTAACACCGGGCGTTGTCCTGCCAATAGCATACTCACTGTAGGTGTGGCATGACGTCCTTTAAATCTTTGAGTACGTCAGACATGACGGACAGTATCGCACAGCTATCTTGACTGCAGCTTCTGAAGACATGGCACATGGTAAGGGTTTCATACTTTCCAGTATTACTTGTGCTTTCCTTTCTCATGGCGACAGACACGTGCCAGGGAATTCCCCGTTTCCCAAACCAATCGCGTTGGCTCTCACGATATTTTCGAGGAAAAAACTTCATGGCCCAATCTTGTACAAGTAGAACCGATGTGTCGTCCAAGTCTCGGAGGATGTCTAGTCTTGCTTTGTCTTGGTTCACCGAACGCAACAAATGAGATTTCCAGGCAATTATATCACGTTTTGTTTTCTCGGTCATGAATGCGAGCTCTTCGTGTATTTGGCCTTTGGAAAGATGCTCAAGATTCATCGCTATCATCTCGATTGCTTTCTCTATCTCCTCTATAGTAACGGCAAGGGAATTACACGGACCACAAACGTCGCTATGATGCAATGGTCTGGAATACTTGAACTCTCTGATACGTGAACCTAAGTGATTAAAATGTGCGCAATAATGATCAAATCCTCAATTCTGAGGAATATTTACGTAATGCATTTACCGAATGCTATCTTCTAAAACATTTCAGAACCTAAGTATTGTGAAGCTGAATGCCGTATTTCAACCCCCCCCCCCCATTTTATCTTAGGGTGGACTTCCACTTTTGCATATCACGTAAACTTCACTGGCATGCCGCACGCACGTAAATGTTAACTCTATTCAGACCAGGCTTTCTTTGCCTCCTGGTTCCGGGCGGCGGAGCTCAGAGGCCCCCCTCTGTAACTACAAAACTGCTCATGGTATGGTGAGCAACATGTCACAGAACAATGTACTCGTCATTTCCAACGTCTAGACAATTTTAGATTGGCACAATTACGTAATATGATGTCATATTGTTGATTCTATGGGCAGAATCCAAATTGCATCAGCTTTCCCTTCAAAGCGAAAAATACTTAAATCATAATGTGTCTGACAAAATGTGTCTGACTAAATCAAAAAGTTAGTTGACACATTAATGACTTTTAACACTAGCAGTGACGTCATGATGGCGTCATTTATGGTTAAAGAGGGATCTGGAACCACCCGCCATCTTAGATCCGCCATTTTTAATTTTTCAAATGTATCCAATTTTACTTAAAACACGTAGAAATGGAGGTAATCATGATAGAAAAACGGATCTGTGCATAAAAGGATATTTAAGAAACAAACAAAAAAAAAAAATCCGCAACTTGTGAAATCCCGAGAGAAATTAAGACTGTTAGAAATTGAACTCAAGTATCTG